ATCTGTCTTACATATTTATCAATCAACCATTCGTCTTTGCTTTGAATACTGCTACCACATCTGGTCTGAAACTCCTGCAATATATTTAGAGATTCTTTATAAATTCAAAGACGAATCTGCAGTGTTATTGGTCCTGACCTGGCATTCCACCTTCAGTTCAGTAACTTGTTCACTGCCATAATGTGCCTCGCTGTGCATTTTTTAGAAATATTTTATGGTAATTGTTCTAATGAGCTTTTCTATAGAATTTCTTAATTAAAACGCAGTACCAGATTGGCAACAAGGTCTCATCATTTTAATGATGAAATTTTCTAGATGTAACCGTAAGTTCTATTTTAACAGTTTCTTCTATTGCATTTTTCCCTTGGGGAACTCTCTTCCAGCTTCTTACGTCCCAGTCAATTTTGATCTTCAAAAATTTAAATTCAATGTCAATCGTTATCTACTGTCTTCTTAATTTGTGTTATTTTAATTATTCACGTTCATTAATAGTGTTCCTTCTCATATTGTTTCACACCCAGTAACCCCTTGTGTTGTAGCGGTTTTATTCTTCTGCTTGGAGATGAAATTATATATATATATATATATATATATATATATATATATATATAACTCAACAACTCCCATCGAATTCGACGTATGAGGGTCAAGTAAGCCCGTGACAGCCCGGACACCGACACATGAGATTATAGTGGAGAAGGTTTTCATGCTGAGCCATCCATACTTTTTTTGAAGGGACGAATAAAGAAACCTGCTGCACTACGTGCCACAAGGTCCCCAAAACTCTCTGGTTTTCTCTCTCTCTTTCTCTCTCTATATATATATATATATATATTATATATATATATATATATTAATCTTCGTCTAACCCATAGTTGAAAGTTTCCAGCGAAATTAAATATGATGTTATTAGAATATGAAGAATTTCTTCATTTGCCTGATTGTTGTTTAATTTCTCCAGTGTTAACTTTTTGAATTTCTAAAACATGATCTTTTTCTTCCATTTTTAAAGTTTCCTCTTTTTTCTTTTTATATTTCTTTCCTCTTGCTTTTCTTGATATTTTTATCTGTCTTTCCTCTTTCTTGTTGTATCTGTTGTTCCTTTATTAATAAGGCAAATTGTTCACTTTGACGTTGCTGAAGTGACTGCTGGGATTTGAATAATTCAGATATGACTTTGGATAATTCATCCATCTTTTGCTAATAGTGTTCATGCAACAAAAATATACTTTTAATTTGTGTATCCACGGATATAATATAATCTGACCAGAAAAATCGAAACAACTTAAAGACTTTTTTTTTTTTATGTCTTGTATTATAAAATATTGTTGAAAATTAAAAAAAAAATTTTTTTTAAAAGTTCGTTACCTTTCAAAGTCGACATCTTGTATTTGTGCGCCTTTTAAATCCATGCATGTTTTATTAAGTCGGCCCGTTTTTTTTTTTTTTTTAAATCACCGTTATTCGTTTACGACACCTTTCAAATTTTTCTGAGTGAACGTTCCTTTATGCTTAGTCGTCCTTTAACGAGTTCTAAATCTCCAGAAATTCAGAATCCTTCGCCGTTCCATTAGATGTTGGACTTTTTAATTAATAATTTTTTCCTTCAGCATGGGTTCTTCAATGACTTGTACCAATTGTTGAAAGCTATCAATTATCAATTTTTTTTTTTAATATAGTTCTTTCTACCTCGTCGCCATTGTTGAAACTTGACTAATGCATGGAATAATAATGCAACACAAAATGTACTTAGAACAAAATGTATTGAAACAAGAAAGTGTACACAATATTTACATATAGTCTTTTGTATATTCCTGGTAAGACCGTTCCTGGAGAATGTGTTGACTGAGTTGCAGTCGGGCAGAGTCTCTGGTTGAATCTCTTGATTCCTTCCTCTCTTCCCGGTACCAACCATATTTATATGGTCGGTACTCCACTATGCAAATTAGGTGGATCCTACCACAACAATATATATATATATATATATATATATATATATAATATTGTGGGTATATATATATATATATATATATATATATATATAGAGAGAGAGAGAGAGAGAGAGTGAGAGGGAGAGAGAGGGCCCCTAACCGATGGTGTTGTCTCATACAAGATTTGATTCTCGCAATAAACAACAAGATAAACCCAACGCCTACTTTGGGCAAAAGACAATGTATTTAATTCGGGGACTCGAAAACAACTAAGCGATCTTAGTTCTATATAAGTTCTTAAACACCCATGCACAACTCCATGCTTCCTTGTAGATAACAATGTCATTCTAAAAACATCTAATTCTAAAATACGTTTAAATATAATTTTTTATTCTTTATATAAATTCGTTTAATCCAAGCTTCAATTTTCTCGACGTAACCAAGAGAAAAGCTAATCAAAACAATTACCATGAAAATATTTAGAGAAAAATCCTAAGGAAGCGACGGTATATGTATATATGTATACATATTCATATACGAATACCAGAAAAATTAAATAAAAAACTTAATCGCATTACCTTGTTAGTCTTTAATGAAACCTGTATAAAAGATGGATTGCTTCCCAAATACACAATTATATTCAAACAGGTACACATATGTATGTATAAATCTATGTATACGAAAGTTTAGGTATGTCTTGTCTTCTATGTGCCGTGTCCCTTCAGGGCAATGTTGATAAAGGCGTTCTTAAATTCTCTGTCACTTCTTAGCTTTTAATAAATTTGGTCTTTTTTATACCACTGCTAAACACTGTATTTACATACCTTTCAAAAAAGTAAGCAAAGTATAAAGAAACAGAAAAATCTCATTAGAAACAAAAAAAAGAGTACTGAACTGTTAAGTAATATCAGACTTCCTATATGGCAGTGAATACTGGACAATCTCCTCACAGATGAAGAAGAGACTTCAAGCAACAGAAACAAAGAAAAGAGTACTGAACTGTTACATAATATCAGTCCTCCTATATGGCAATGAATGCTGGACAATCTCAGAGATAAAGAAGAGACTTTAAGCAACAGAAACAAAGAAAAAGTATTGAACTGTTACACAATATCAGACTTTCTATATGGCAGTGAATGCTGGATAATCTCCTCACAAACGAAGAAGAGACTTGAAGCAACAGAAACAAAGAAAAAGTATTGAACTATTACGTAATATCAGTCCTTCTATATGGCAGTGAATGCTGGACAGTCTCCTCACAGATGAAGAAGAGACTTGCAGCAACAAAGAAAAGAGTCTTGAACTGTTATATCTGTCCTCCTATATGGCAGTGAATGCCGGACAATCTCCTCACAGATGAAGAAGAGACTTGAAGCAGTAGAAACAAAGAAAAGACTACTGAACTGTTACGTAATATCACTCCTTCTATATGGCAGTGAATGTTGGACAATCTTCTCATAGACTTGAAGCAACCGAAATGTGGTTTTACATGTGATCAACAATAAAGTTTTAGAGAAAATGGAAACAACAGGGCACATAATGAGATAAGAAGGCTTGGACAATTGATATCCAGAGGACAGATTGAATGCATGTGGGACAGTGGAAAGCAACACATAACCTCCCTAGTGAGATTGGGTAAATGACTGTCGGAAAAAGTTTGGGAAAGATAAGAAAAAGACAATATATATTAACTGTTACAAATGACAGGAAATTTTGGTTAAACCATGATTGATAACGTTGTGAAAGAAGAAGAGATTTTCTACCTAGATTCGTTCTGGATAGGGTGAGCATATATTCCAGCCATCAAGAAGGAAATTTTATGATTGCTGTTATCATTATTTAGTTCAACAATTAGTATCCAACTGGAAATAAATAGCTAAATTAAAAAAGAGATTATTTAAAAAAACGATTAAATTTTATAGGCCTTGGACGACATGACATCGATAACAGCCAGAAAAGCAACCCTCCCTCACCAAAAAAAGCAATCATACAATAGAGTATTGATGCCAGCAGTCATGGCACCCAATCAGGTAGCTCGCTACTGTTAGTGATTAAGGAAGTCTCCTTACACCAGTCTGAGCTGAACTGACTTCATCACATCATACTTCCACACACAGCAAAACGTTTATTCAAAATTCGTTAACCCGATTATAGATATACAGATAAAGATAACAAAAAGCCACTTTTAAAATTATGAACTTGTAATCACTTTCAGTTCATCCCGCTAGAGGTATACAAGTAGCAACTCAAGAATATTTGATTATTGCATTTTTTCTGTTCCATATCCCTTCAGTACATGGACGATCATGGCTTTCCACAACTTCCTGTTCTTTGTATATCAAGTTTTGCCTTTTTGCTATCTCTCATAGTCTTTTGGCCACAACGCGTTGAGACACCGGTTCCCGTACGACAACCGAAGTTAAGCAATGTCGAAAAACTGATTAATACCTAGATGGGTAACAGCTTGAGAATACCAGGTGGTGTAAGCTCGGATGTACGGCTGCTATAAAGGATAATGGTTCGGAATTGTTAATCTATTAAGTAACCAACATTAACCTGCATGGTGCCTTGTCCAGAAAATGGCGTCATGGTGTCTGCGCCACACACGCAACTTATCACTGGGCTGAAAGATTTGGAACCGTGACACATCGGACAACACCATACGCTGTCAGTATCCCAAACGATATCACGAGCCCAAGTAAGGTACTGTTGTCTGGATTCGTGGTGAATCTTTTGCTTTCATTTCGCATGGAAGCTAAAGAACGCTGAACTGACCTATTGAATATGCGACTGGTTCTTCCGCACTGAGAGTGGGTTTGTTTTGAGCCATCATCTCTTATCTGTTACTGCAGAAAATTCGAGCTAGATGCCCCCGGGCACAATCTTTAACCCTTTAATACCAAAGATACCCAAATCCACCTGCAGGTTTCATAACTTGCACTTCGGAAGCGCTCAAAGGGGCTCAAAATCGGCTTGCACTGTATTTCAATAAACATCATTAACACCCGTTAAATGATCAACTAGAGACGCTGAAGATTTCCAAAACCATATCTCATTATTATCATATTACGTTGAAACACCGTTTCTCGTACGAACACCGAAGTTAAGCAACGTCGAACCTGGTCTGTGCCTAGATGGGTACCCGACTTGGGAATACTAGGTGTTGTAAGCATGGCTGTACAGGTGTTTTTAATGGATAACAACTCGAAATTGGAAATCGGGTTCGTTATATCCACTTACGCGTAAATACCTTGAGGAGTGGTATGAATCAGCCTCTCAACCCCCAGTTATGGGTTAATTAGTAGAACTTGAATTAGTTAATCATTATTATTTACCAAAATTCTTAAAATTTAAAAGTATTTTCTGGCATTAAATGTTGATAAGCCGTAGCAATGTTTACAATGTTTCACTCGTTATCATAATACAATTCATATAAAGCCTAGATATTTTCATGGTGTCAAGGTATGATGGCGCTTACTGACATTACATTTACATGCAACTACTTTATGACTTTTGACACATCAGTGCCAAATTGAACAGTATGACTCGTTTATTTATTGAAATCTGAGAATATCTTCTCTAGTACTATTATAATTTGTGAACATTTAGGAAAGATAAATTTATCGTAAATAATTATTACACAGAAAATAAAAGATTTGAAGAATATAAATTCTAACCTGGATAAATCACGTCCATACTAGAGAGAAGTAGAAATTTTTATAACATGTTCAAAATTTTTAGTCACAATATGAGGCAGTAGCATTCATATTAGTGCCCTGTTAGCATCTGATGAATAGACGGTGATGCGAGCAGAGATAAATTTGATTGTGACGAAAAAGTGAAAGTGGTTGCCATACATCGGAGATGAACACGTGCCCCTTTTAGTCAGTTAAGAGGATTTGGATTGAAGTATCTTAAGAGGGCGGATGCTTAGCTCAATATAAAGTTTCACATATTGAATGTGAGGTAGATTTTCAACCAAAGTAATGACCACCATCTTCACCTGACATGTTCCCAATAGAGTATCTAGGGGATATGGGGTGGGGTCTATATAGACGCAGTATTTTAGAAATATCAGTGAACTGTTGACATTTGTCAAGACAATATGGTCCAATTTTTTCAATGTATCTCCAGAGCTCCTTTTGGAATTGATGCCACAACAAGATGCTGCACTTCGCCAGGATAAAGGTTTTTTTAACACTATATTAGGTACTCGTCCCATAATTTTTGACCGGTCAGTGTAGGTAACCAATCCATGTCAAAAGATTTACATAAAATATTGTCTCGTTTTTTAAGAATAAATTTGTTGAACTAAATCAGAAATTATTTATGACTTATCTTTGTTGTTTAGAAGATCTTAATTATTTCTGTACAGAGGGCGTCCAGTCCAGTTCATTCAAGAACCACAAATTAACCCACTAAGATCATGACATCACGCTTTTATTTATTAAAGAAAATGTCTATGTTATCAGTTAAACATAGCCAATGATAATTTGACAATGAAATGCATAATTTTTCGAGACAAATGACTTTTTCATTTGTTTATAAGCACATAGCCCAAACTCCAGGTGCAAATAAAAAAAAAGGTGTTATGGAGTGTAATATAACGCAATTTACGTCAGTGAATAGAGAATGTAAACTGTTGTTATATGAAGAGAGAAAAAATAGAAGATAAAAGTCACTTTCGTCAATAAAGGTAAGATTCTACATACATGTTTAAAATTGTTAGTTTGAGGAGCATGAATTTACATAATAACTGTGGGAAAATCAGAAAGAGTTATTCTGATTGAATTTTTGATATGAAGGCGAGCCTAAACACTATAAAAAGATTAGAATTTCAAATTACAAAATGCCCTTCCTTTTGGAAGTCATTGAAGTATTGGGAAAGCTACGTTATATAAATATCTACCATCAAGTTGAATAATGGATTAAATATATTTTATTTAACACTAGGTGGGTCCATCAGTCGTGACTTGCCGATATCTTAAAACATCCTTTTTCCCTTGTTCTCGTAAACAGGTTATTTTTATCAACTTTATGAAGAAATAATTTTCCCCGATTTTGTTACTGATTTATTGATTGCTGAACACTAAAATGTCTCGTTTTAACTGCTACATCCGTTAAACTGTACAAAATTAGAATCAGAAAACGCAAAATTTGTCTGACATCGAAGATAAGAGTACTTTCACGTGATAAACATACTTTGAACTATTACTTCCATACTTTCATTTTCAAGCGAAAATGTAACAGAACTAGGTACTTTAATTTAACTTAATTTCTATAATTGAATTGGAAGTTTTTAGCTTCTATTTTTGAAACATGGTAATTCCTGTGTAGCGATGGAATAATATTTTTTTAAAAAAATAATTATAACCTAGGCTCTACTTGTGTATCGAGCACTGTTTTTTTTAAAAATAAAAACAAAAATACTAAAAACTTCGGATCATCAATCTAACTGTTCTTTCCTATTTTATCAACATAATTGCATATATATATATATATATATATATATATATATATATATATATATATATATATAGAATAAAAGGCAAAGCAAAAAAGAAAACAAACTTTCCTTTACCGACGTGTTTCGTCCTCTGATAGACACTTTATCAAGGCAAAAATAAGTATTTTATTTTTGGAATATGTATTTATCAATAGAAGTAAAATTTATAAATTTAAGAAGGCACATAAATATTCTTGAAGCTAGCTGTGAAATTGTCTTTATTCAAATGGTCTTTTTACATTTAGTTTTATTTATATCTTATTTATATTGTTACAGACACACACATATATATATATATATATATATATATATATATATATATATATATATATATATATGTGTGTGTGTGTGTGTGTGTGTGCGTGTGGGGGAAACTTCAGATATACTATTGGTATATTTGAACAATATGAAGGAACTTATATTAGCTGACCTGTTTCGTCCTCAAATGTAAGGTTTTTATTTTGCAACAAGTATTTATAAATAAAAGTAAAATGTCGTTAGTTTTCCGACATTTTTAAATTTAAGAACGTTCACAAATGTTAGACGGACTAATTGAAGAGTCTATGTAAATAATGCCTAACAATAAAAATTTAATTTTTTTAAACATCTTTATAGTCATGTATGTTGACTTGAGAAAAGAGCAATTCTTCGGGAACAAAGAGTCTTATATTTTGATAAGATTCGAAAGCGTAAATTAAATAGTAATTTAATTATTTAATTTATGTATTATATATTTTAATAATAGAAGATTGTGAATTTAAATGTTATCTTTAATTTTTTTTAAACATCTTTATAGTCATGTATGTTGACTTGAGAAAACAGTAATTCTTCATGAACAAAGAGTCTTATATTTTGATAAGATTCGAAAGCTACATTCTCAAGAATGATTCGTCTAATGCAGGCTACTTTCTCTTTTAATAAGTGTTACATTCTTTAGATCGAAGTTGTGGTTGAGTTTATTTCTGTGTATGACTATTGTATTTGATAAATTGTTGTGTATAAGATCCTTTTTGTATTCATAGATAGGTTGCTTTTAAATTCTTCAAGTTTCACCAATGTATTGTGAGGAGCAATATATTTGTATATACCTGCTTAAGAATTATTATTATTATGGATATTTTAATTCTAATAATATCCAGAATAGTTCACATCATTTATCTAGATATATTTCTATTACTTCAAACGTTATTTTTATGTAATGCCAGTATTTGAGTGGACGCTCCGTTCTATTTTAAATAGTGTTTATTTCGTCTACCGGAAAATAGAAGCTTGTGAAGCACTTTGTAGCTGAGCAGTTAAAGCACGCCCGATCAGATGGTGGCTCTTCGTACAAAATAAACGGCCCGCCTATTCAAATACGGGTAATCACTAAAAATAACGTTCGAAATAACATAGGCTCGATATTACATAACAGTTCAAAACTCTTTTCTTTGTTTCTAACAAAGTTTTCCTGAGTCAAACAGGCACACGCACGCCCCCCCATATATATATATATATATATATATATATATATATGGCATAACTTATAAGCAAATAATGGTCCACCCTCAACAAGTAATTATCTTATTTTATTTATTTATGTGTATTTGTTTATTCAGATGTAGTACTGCCGTGTATTGCCGTCCAGTTAGTATTTTTAATATCTTATATAGATGTTCCACATATTTAATTTTATCTACAGGTTCCTTTAAGAAGGTTCATGAATCTGGAAATTAAAAAAAAATTCTGTTGAAATGAACTTTACGTTTGATTATACTCCTTCCCCTCTCTTCAGCGTCCTTTGAAAAATTGAACGTCATATTTGTCTACAATCACAATACATTTGTTGCTTACATGTTTTCCTTAATTGTCAATGAGGACCTGTCTAAGTTCTGGTTTATCATGTGATGAAAAAATAACTTCCCTACCTCCACCCTCTGAGTTTAATTTTCTATTTAACGTAGATCTGACATTTAATGATCAAGACAAACCCACAAGTCTATTTTTTAATTCCGACTTTGCATTTTATTGCCCCCTTTTTATCTTTATGAAAAGAGGTAACACTTTGCTTTTGAAATTTAAAAAATTATTTAATCACCAGTCACTTACCATCCAGAGGTACAACTTAGTGCTGAAACACGAAAGCTATTGCGTAGCGATTTCAACATTGTTTCAACAAGCTTTGCACTAATATCGAAAATAATAATAATAATAATAATGATAATATATATATATATATATATATATATATATATATGTGTGTGTGTGTGTGTGTGTGTGTGTGTGTATCAAGAAGGAAAACACTTAACGCATCATCGAAGAATTCGGTAATAAATTTATTTCGACAGATAAATTTTTTGATATCTGCCTCATCAGGCCGAAATTACAAAATTGTTAAAATTTATTGAGACAATTTATTAAAAAAAAGATTTTCATGTAGTTCTACATTATTGAAGAGAGAGAAGTTGGAGAAAGAAAAAGGAGAAGCAAGGTGTCAGCAAAATGAGTAGTGATAGGTGGTAGAAGTTCAAGTGACAGCTTGTGAAATACATTGAAATTAAATCAAAATATATATATCCTCATCATCTAATCTCATCAATATAATAACGATCATTATATATATATATATATATATATATAGTATTTACATTAGTCGGACTATTGTCCTCATCTTTGTCACCATAT